TCCGAGTTATATTCATGCGCAGACACAAATGGAAGCGAGAACAGCGAAATCTAAAAAATGCAAAAAGCCACGACGCAAGGGGAGCCGAACCATCAACCCCACCCTCACTGTCCGATTGCGAAACCTCCACTCTATCCGCTAGGCCATCCGATGCTCGACTGCTGCGCTCTTATCGTTGATGAAACCATTGCAAGAAGCCGTTCACCCTTGAGCACGTGACCCAAGTTGGAAGCTCACTTGCGGCGATTTTTCGCTTCGATTCAAATAGCCCCTTTATAAGGACCCCCACTCAGCAACTGGTCAAAGTTGCAAGTGACCTACGCCGTATAGAGGCCCAGAACGAAGCAGATTCCAAAGATTTCTTTTCACTCGTTTTTTACCTTTCCTGGAAGCGCGCAGCGAAAATGAAGCACACTTTTCAGGTCCTTGCATGAGCCCCTACAATATGCAAAAAACCGTTTTCGAAAAGCGCACCACGCCCTGAACGACCTCCCTTGTCAGAGAAGTTATGGAGTGAAATGCATGTCAAAACACCTGGTGCGAGAGCAGTTGGGAGAGGGGGAGGAGGGTCAAGGAAGCGCAGAAGCTCATTGTCCAGTTCCTTCTCGTTATGAATTTGTTCTCGTAGATGCGGCTATAGGGCCCGAAATAAATGGAGCGTGCGGTACAACGCACTCCTCCTCTCCCAGAGGGTGGCACGAGAGGGGATGGGAAGATCTCCTTCAAGAGATAGTGCCATTTTGAGGTGCCGCTAAATGGGACGTTCAGTCCACATCTCCGCTTTTAGGGGCGGGGGGGGGGCGAGGGAGTGGGCACTGTCTACAAACGTGGATGTGGAAGCGTGCTGCGGAGGACGATTTGCTGTACAAGAGGGATTAGATGTTCATCGATGCTCTCTAGGCCCTCCACGTTCTATTCCATTTTCACGCGCTATCTACCCTTGCTTGAAATGTTTACGATCGTCGCCCTCACACCCAAGTCCGTGGACACTCCCCCTCCAAACGCTCAGATACGGGCTGTATATAGGACGCGTGAAACGGGAAAAGAAGGCGAATGCGTCGTATGCGATTAGGCCTAGATCAAGCGAAAGGTAAGCGAATTTCGTAGCAATGAACTGCCGGTTTCTTCTCTGAAGCGCTAACCGCATACGCCCCCTTGCAGCTGTACAACATCTTTGCCTATGATTTCACGTGTGAGAGCCAGGTATACATAAAACCAGTCGAATCGCCGGCTGTCGACGCGGTGCGCTCACTCCTTCTGTGACATGGCCCGGCTTCGCCGGGCCATGCGGATTTGCCGCGTGCTAAGTTAAGGATCGTTGACCAACCACACTGTTCAAAGGAATCTTCTGCATCAGCCAAGAACTGAAAAGCAGCGCTTGTTCCGTCAAGGCGCAGAAGCAGCAGCAGCGCCCCCCCCCCCGCATCACAGAAGGAAAGCCGGCCTTAGCCAGCGATCCGACTGGTACGTTCATAACCTACACGGAAATAGTGCAGCCTGTTTGGACAGCCACTGAAGCAGCCTATAATTTATGCAATCTGTCTTCCTAAAGCTTTGGAATGCACTACCGCATTCAGCAGTGGAACCCTTTAAATGGCCCTCACTGAAGTTGCTGATGGAAGATAATTGTGGTAAGAGTGATAAAGTCAGTTGCTGCTGTTCATAACATCTCTGTAAACAAACCACATGCATTTGGAATAGAGCTGGCTTAGCGGTCGTACACGATGTCGTTACTAATAAGCAGTGAGGAATGAGTTCTGTTGGAATCACTGAGATCGTTATACTTGAGTCATATCGATCGCATTGTTGTTGTGAGCGGTGAAGCGGATTTTCCCATGCTACCTTGTCAATTTTAGCTCCTATCACTTCCGTACCCGCCAATAACACTCCCGTCCCGTATCACTATCATATCACCCTATCGCCTCTCGGATCCGAGGTCCCACTGTTGCTGTAACCTGCGTTACGAATCTGATGACCCTCCCCTTCCGAGGCCGCTTACCGTATCTTATCAACTGTTATCACTTTCTGTCGCCCGCCAATAATGTTCCCGTCCCACACCCTATATCACCTCACGGATCTGAGTTCCCACTGTTGCTGTAACCTGCGCCACGAATTTGATGACCCTCCTCTTCCGAGGCCCCTTATCGGATCTTATCAACTGTTATCAGCTTCTGCCAGCCCCACCCCTACGGCATATCAGTACTTGAAATCATGGTCCCGCCGTTGCTGCAACTTGCCACGAATTCGGTCACCCTCCCCTTTAAGGCCCCTTATCGAATCTTATCAAGTGTTATCACCTCCTGTCACCCACAAAAAGTGTTCCCGTCCTGCCATGTATATCACTCCTTGAAATCACGGTCCCGCAGCTGCTGCATTTTGCGCTAGATGTTGGTCACCCCCCTTCTAAGGCCCCTTATCGAATCTTATCAAGTGTCATCACCTCCTGTCACCCATCAAAAGTGTTCCCGTCCTGCCATGTATATCACTCCTTGAAATCACGGTCCCGCAGCTGCTGCAACTTGCGCTAGATGTTGGTCACCCCCCCCCCTTCTAAGGCCCCTTATCGAATCTTATCAAGTGTTATCACCTCCTGTCACGCACCAAAGTGTTCCCGTCCTGCCATGTATATCACTCCTTGAAATCACGGTCCCACACCTGCTGCAACTTGCGCTACGAATTCAGTCACCCTCCCCTTCTACGGCCCCTTATCGTATCTTATCAAGTGTTATCACCTCCTGACACCCACCAAAAGTGTTCCCGTCCTGCCATGTATATCACTTCTTGGAACTGTCATCCTATCTTTTCTGCGACGCTCGCTATGAATTTCGTGACACACACACACACACACACACACACACACACACACACACACACACACACATAGCGGATTATATATAGTAGGATAAATGTTCATTAAGAAAAAGACAACACTGCTTACAGTCACAGTTAATCACAGCACAACGAAATATGTTATCAGTTGAAATCTAATCGAATCCATTAACGGGCCGCTACGCGACAAAGCTCTTTTGAAAGGGGCAGCTCCTATGAAGTTAGATCCTAGTTTAGGTAAGATGGAACTTCCATACACTCATCGAAATTAACAGATGCACATTTTCAATTAGAGATATAAATATTCAATCACAAAAAAGTGGGCCGTGTTCACAAAGCGAAAGTGAAAAGGTTAGAAACAATCGGCACTATTTATTATTTACTTCTCGAAATTTAGGCGACGTTTGTCTCGAAATTTGGTCTCAGTGGGAGCTGGCCATAAGCTGATCCAGGGAGTGATTTGACCCTCTCAGCGTAAACGGCTTCTTGGCGCGAAAAGGCCTGGTTCACGCGCTACAGGCGCTCACGCCAATGTAGGAGGGGACATCTGACGCTGGCGCATATTACAGAAGCTTCATCAACGAGTAACCGAGCAGTTACCTTCTGTAAGGTGCCGAGCATTTTCTTCGGCAGGGGTGTCGGGATATGTAACAAGACAATCGCAATATGCCGTGCTGGTGGGAGTGGCAAGCGAAGCCGCGTCCGATGGACGAGTTGTTCTACCCGGAGGACGCGAGAAAGTACGATTGTCTTGTCCGTCTCCCGTGGCGCCGAGCAGATGTTGTGCACGTGTTTCAGGGGTCAGATTACTTATTGAGACAAATTCCCAGCCCTATCGAGATTCTGATCGAAAACTGGGAAATGTGGAGCAGTAAAGTATTAATAACGCCAATAATCTTATTAAGTACAGAGTAAAGTACCTACATCCTGAATGTTTCATAGGTTACTAAACTAAGGAAACAACTTCAAAATTCCCAAAACTCAATTATGTGAAGATGTCACCACATCGTACATGGCATGAAGTAAACGGATGTACGTTCTCGCTGTGTCACCAAAGCCAACCTGCAAATGGATTGTACTTCCTTGAGGATGAGTCTTGTGCGCTGCGGATGCTGGGACATGCTCAAACTCAGCCACTCCCTCTCTCCTGACAAGCCCTAGCATCCTCATCAAACAAGACCGTATGTACGCTCTCTGTTCCAATACGGTGAACCACCACCCATCCTTTTCCGTTAAATGGTCTCTAATCCTCTCAAAAAGAATGATTTACCTTGAGCCCATTGCTCATGTACGCGAATGTTATGTTGTTCTTCAAATCTATTCTGACGTTTTGACCGCCATATCCGGAGTGACCCAATAGCTCAAATGTTCCCTGAAATGTTCTGTCTTGAGCAATGTAGAGCTCTTTCTTCACTTCTTTAGGGTTCAGACTTCGCAATGACGCCGGCGCCGCCCTAGCGGCCTGTGCCGATCGATACCAGACGGCGTGGTTAGGCAGTGCGTATGTTCCTCTGTACTCTTTCAATACACAAGTGGCAGGCGCCCGATCAAAACCCGTCTGTAACAACGCTCCAATTCGCGTTCGCGTCTATAGAATTGGAGCGCTGTTGCAACTGCAGTGCCTTACAGCCCATTACAGCATGTCGTCGCGCGTCAACGCGAAGTCTGAACGCTGCCCTCAGATGTTCCATACCTTTTCATGATGAAAAGGCTTGAACATCATGCCTTGTCCTCGAGGAACATACGCCCCGGTGACGATATCCTTTTTGAAAAAGTAGTCACTCGTGAGTTTTTTGAACGTTTCTGCACTCATCAGTTCACCAAGCCTGAAGAACAATATTGTAGTAGCGAAGGTACCTGTTGCTATTCGAAAAATGAGGACAGAAAGCGATTACCGTAGTCTCTCGAACAGCTCCGCCATGGCACGAGCTGTACCAATACCAAGTACACCCGCTTGTTCAATCTCGTACAGATCAGGATCATTCAATGTCAAATCCTGAACATATGATTTCAGTTATAACAAGGAGGAATGATGAGGCTTCTAGACTTATAAGCGTCCTTCGGCCGTGGCGGCCGGAATTGATAAATTCACTAGCGAATAAGAACGGCGTATAGTCACCTTTACAAATGCGATCCAGGGTACGTTATGGCCAACTTTGGAGAGCAGACCATCGGTTAGCATTTGATGCACAAATCTGGAATTATGAAGTGATCAGTAATCTTGAAAAACACCTCACTCGACGAAAAATCTGACAGTGAGACAATTTGGTGAGATGGCTGTATTGGATAGAATGGTAATGTGGTGGTAATCTTATGACAGGTGTGAGGGGAGGGAGTCCCGGAGAAGAGATTTGGGGGACGTATTCAACAAAACTTCCCCCATCGCCACTGATTGTTTTCAAGCGTAATAGTTGATCCTCTTGTTGCCACCCACACTGCATGTACACCCCGTACACCGGAGAACGGAGGGGCGTGGCTGCGCCTTTCATTTGAACGTGACAACGGATGCGCTTTTGATGAGGTATTGCGGTTTTCGAACCACTGTGAACCTATCTCCGTCCAACGTAAGGCAGAAATGAGGCTGCATTCATATTTGCGGCAGCGTCCACCAGCGTTTCGAGCGTCCGGCAGCGTCAGCGACTGAAGTATACATATCCATCTAGCGTCTGACAACTTCTATCAGCGTGCACCAAAGTCTACCAGTGTACGGAAGAGGAGAGTATGGCGCGATAGGAGGATAGCAGACACCGGTACCCTTCTATCGCGCCATAGTCTTTCCCTGCAGTCTGCCACTCTCCTATCTTCCCATAGTTTACCAGTATCTGCTACCCTCCAATCGCGCCATGCTTTGTTCTCCCGAACGGTGGTAAACGCTGATTGATACCTGTACTTGCAAGGCCCTCGAGACGCTGGTAGACGTTGGCGATGCTGGGAGACGCTGGATCGATATCCAAACTTTCCCAGTCTGACGCTGCCGCAACCCGAAACGCTAGTGGACGCTAATAGACGCTGGTGGACGCTACGAAAGCATTAACGCAACCTTCGGCTTCCAACTGGAAATAACGCCTGCGATTAGAGCGAGCCCTTCACTTTGTACTTCCGTCATATTCACGTAAAAAGCCTAACATTGCACCTGCTAACATCAAAGTCGCTGGGCTTATAGAGATATTCCTGAATGAAATTCCATGCTGATGGAGGAGTTAGTCGGGAAACTCGCGAGGATTCACAACGAGGCAAACCGATGTAGAAGTCAAGGTCTGGAATCATCATTAGAATTTTGATTCACAAGGAAGTTCAAGATTGTTTCTAATTAAAAACTCACTGTATTTATCAGCAAGTTCCTCTTTGAAATAAACGCCAATAGATCGGTGCTTCGGATCTGTTCTACGAACTATCTGATCCACTAGCCATCCATAGGTTATAGCATGGTAACCAACTTCTGTACCAGGAGGCCAGTTAGGGACCTGAACTATGGATTCCAAAGCGGCGACCATGAAGAGGAAGAGGATGCTTCACTACGGAGGAAAACGATACACACTACGCGCTATATGGGCTAGTCTATTTTTCCGCCAGGGTTACCGTACTCCAAAAAGGATAAAGGAGGAGGGGAGCCGGTGAGAGCGAACCAACCCGCTACGCGTGAGAAGTCGGAGCGCAAGAGTTGGAGCAGCGCCTCACCTGAGCACCTTTCCCTACAAATTAATGCATATCATTGGTTGGGGAATTTTGGTCGAGTCCGTGCGACCCCCTCCCTTTTTTTAAGAGGTTGATACGACCTCCTCCCACCCTAGTTCTCTCTTCCCTGATGAAGCCTGGAGCCGTCGAGCGGGGTGGGGGGGGGGCGGTGGGGGAGGGGTAGGGGCGGGGAGGAGAGGGAGTACACAAACTTATGTGAAAAGTGGAAAACCGAAGCCGAAACCACGGAAAGTCAGCATTTTTTCTCAGAAGGCAGGAGGCAAGTACGACCCTTTGAAGCGTCCCTGAAACAAAACCGAACAACCAAAAAAATTTCTCAGCCCGAACATGACCCCTTTTCTCTCCCAGCGACTAGATACGACCCCCTCCCCTATTGGGGAATCCCCAACAACTAAGTGCTCAGCTGAAAATTCCTTATTGTCGCAAATTCACGGAAATTATTACAGACTAGCCCCTCCGAAGCGTGCAGCGCTTGACACTACTATGTAGCTTTACCTGATCTTCGAATACTTTCGCGATTGCTTTCCAATCGTTTGCAATTTCAAAATGGATCTTCTTATCAGTGTAAGCTAGACCAGCCTGAAACCCAGTACTTACCTCAGTTAATCTAAGGTTTGTGAGTATGTCTTTACCAACTCACTCTGTGTCCTAACAGCCAACGAACGGTGATGTTTTCTTTACCATGCTTACCAAATTCTGGCCAAAACTTCGTGACCAAATCGTCATAATCCAGATGTCCCTGGTCAACCAGCTGCGCAACACAAATAGCCGCGACCGCCTCAAAATATGCTATTATTTGTAAGTTTATTGTTAATTTCCTTATCAATTGTTACTGGAACGAAATTTGTAATCGATGTTTACAAAAAATAAGAACGATGAAAAGTTGTCCTCATAGTGTGACGCTTTACAGCATAATGGAAGGGCTGATACCGCCCATAATACAAGCGTAGACATTGCAGGAGGGAGAGAAGCATCTCGAACTTTTCAGCACGCGAGTCCAGTGGGGAAGGCGCGGCAAATTCGGTGACGCCCACTTGTCACACCACGATCCACAACTTATCAACACGAGAAAGGTAATTTTGGTGAGTGTCAAGAATTAAAAATACACTATACGAACTGAAAAAACAAAATAAAATCAGGCAGAAAAAAAGACACGTTAAATGGGCCAACAGGGACCTCTAGAAATTATCGCAACTCGGTGGGAGACGGGCGATTCTATCGTGAGCTGAAGAGGTCGCACCGTTCACGTCGCGCGCGGCTACTCGCGCGGCAATTTCAGGATTGCACTTCTGTATCCACATGAGTTATCAGTGAACTAAGAGATTCGTTCTTGTTTACGACGTGCGCTTTAGAGTAACAACAGGATGGATCTCTTTCATAATTTGAACGAGCCTGAGACAACACAGCTCGTAAGCAAGGGCTGCGGCGTCGCAGGCCGCGCCCACCACCGCGGCATCCCACGATAGAATCGCCACACCCACAAAATGTATGCCCATGCCTGGGTCTTTAAATTTGACACACCCTGCTGTAATTGAGTTCGTTAAGCGGACCCCATACAATTTGTAAACAGAAAGTCCTAATCTCACCTTCGTCGATGAAAAGGCTACATTCAATGTGTCTTTCTTCCACAGACGTTTACATTCCTTATCGGCATATCCTCCCCATAAGTCAACCACTTTTTTACCATTAAAGTAGACTACGAATGCTGCACCTCCACGTTCCCAGCCGTCCACGAAATTCAATCTGCAACAGAAGCTCTCCGAGACGTCAAGTCATAGTCTCTGAGAGGAAAAAAGTGTATGTGAAGCTTTTTGTAGAAAAAAAATGAAGGAAATACTGGATAAGGTCAAAGTGGGCTTTCAGAAGGGCAATAACGGCTTTCCATTGTTCTTCATAACCTCAAAATAAATGAGTAACGTGGCAAATCAGTCTGTGCTTTCTGTAGAATTGTCGACGGGGATATGCAAATCATGAAATAGTTTCAAAGTATTTCTAGAGCGCGCCACGCATTTGGCTTCCACGTAAAATCACACTGCGTTTGAGTCAAATTGACAATGATGTATGATCGAATCAAAGCGTAAATCTGGTCATTTCATCCTTCTAGAAGTATCCCGCACCCCATATTCCAAGGTCCCTCTTCCCACATACTAAGCAACAGATTGCCAATCGATGTAGCGTCATGTCGTCTACTGATGACACCACAGCAGTTGTTTCCTGTTATCGCAAACATGCACGCATAGTAAGTGCACAAGTAGTCATAACACGCGCCAAGGTACGTCGTACCCAAACGATAACGTGATGGTGATCATCTGGGTTCGCAAAAAGGTTGGACAGTAAAAGCTCTGAAAAGGTTCTGGCTCAGCTCGGGAAAAAGAAAAGGATTGCTTGGACGGTTAGTTCGAAAAGTTGAAGTGCAACCGAAACAGTCAAGCTATTGGTAAAAAAGGCGCCCATTCTCTACGAAAAAGAAAGGAAGAACTCTGCTGGAGGAAGAGAATTACTTGATATGATCATCACATCATCGGCTTTTTCCTTGTTGTTTAGGAAGTACTCAATGAACAGCTCTCTGTCCTCTTCGCTTTGTTTTCAGCGTAGTTCGGCGAAAGAGGGGCACTTTGCACTTACGCTACTTCCCATTGTCGTGTTCAGTGCTTCATAAGAGTTTGCAGGTATTCTTTACAAGGGTTGACAGGAAGTTTCTACGAAACTGACTAGCATCACGTCACGGCTTCACAAGTTTTCACAAATCTATACTTGTTTAGACATGACAATGGGAAGCAGCGAGGGTGCAAAATGTCCGCCCCCTCCCAACTCCACCTGTTTTTTTTGGAATATGTGAGGTATATGAAGTTCCACCTGAATTGTAAGGCATTATATCCAATCAGTGGTTAGATGTTATCAAAACTATCATATTTTACACTCCATATCCTTGGCATAGAGTGGGCGTGGGGTGCGTGATTCATTTGAACATGGCGACGGCTGTGGCTCCGACGGGATTATTTCGTTTTGGGACAATTGCGACTGTCAGTTGCCCAGC